CTGGGTAGAGTGCCCTTGTGTCACAACTCACAGCAACCTCCAACTCCTGGGCTTAAGTGATTCTCTTGCCTCAGCCTCCCAAACAGCTGGGACTATAGGCACCTGCCACAATGTCTGGCTATTTTTTGTTGCAGTTGTCATTGTTTAGCTGGCCCGTTCCAGGTTCAAACCCAACACCCTCAGTGTATGTGGCTGGCGCTGTAACCACGGGCACTGAGCCAGACCAATGCCTTTTAAAAGGCACAGAATAGGCTCAACACTCGTAACTCAGTGGTTAAGGCGCTGGCCACATACACTGAGGCTGGTGGAATCGAACCCAGCCTCGGCCTGCTAAACAACAATGACAACTGCAACAAAAAAATAGCCAGGCGCTGTGGTAGGCGCCTGTAGTCCCAGCTACTTGGGAGGCTGAGGCAAGAGAATCACTTAAGCCCAAGAGTTGGAGGTTGCTGTGAGCTGTGATTCCACAGCTCTCTACCATGGGTGACAAAGTGAGACTCTGTCTCTTAAAAAAAAAAGAAATCTGTTTTACCAGAACTAAAATATTTGTTGACATGTCATTGTTCTTTCTCAGGGAGGGGCTTTTTATTTCCTGGAGCATGTGGCAGCTGAGCGATCCACCTGGAATTCCTTCTGGCAACAGGTCCTAGATCCTCTCTGGTACCTTCTGTTTGATGGGTGCAACCTGACCAGAGAAAGCTGGAAGACGCTGGAGCGGGCCAGCTTCTCTAAGCTGAAGCTCCAGCACATTCAGGCCCCGCTGTCCTGGAAGTTAGTGCGCCCTCATATCTATGGATATGCGGTGAAATAGTGTCAGTAAGCAGGAGAGTGCCGAGTGGCTCAAGTAACAGGGGATTCAGTTGTCCATGGGCCAGACTAACTGGGAGAAGGGAAACCCTGATTTTTAGATAAATTTGAATTTCATTCTGAAAAGCTTCTCTTATGTTGTATTAGTCATTTTCTCTTATCTCCTAAAGAATTAAAAACTAAACAAAATGACAGCTTTGGACTCCCCCTACAAAGGAACAGTGGGCTTTCATAATTGAAGCCCACCATTATACCCAAATTTTACTTTATTCATTGACTTCAAAAGCTTTCCGATCTTCTTTAGGCTTTTCCAATTATAATCCAACAGATTATAATTTCACCTCTTCTTTGAGAGTTTGACACTAATAAGCAGTTAAATCACTCAGAAGAATGTGAAAAGGGGGCAGTGCAAAAATCTTAATAATTCATGGACTGAATTGAAAATCCAAGTTCAGGCAGCGCCTATGGCTCAGTGAGTAGGGTGCCGGCCCCATATACTGAGGGTGGCGGATTCTAAACCGGGCCCAGCCAAACTGCAACAAAAAATAGCCGGGCGTTGTAGCAGGTGCCTGTAGTGCCCCCTACTGGGGAGGCTGAGGCAAGAGAATCGCTTAAGCCCAGGAGTTGGAGGTTGCTGTGAGCTGTGACGCTACTGCACTCTACCTAGGGCGACAGCTTGAGACTCTGTCTCAAAAAAGAAAAGAAAAGAAAGAAAATCCAAGTTCAAGCAGCATAAATTTTCTTTTCTTTTTAAAACGGATTTTCTGAAAAACAAATCTAAACCTATTTGTTATTCTTAGTGTCACTGGTCTGGGTTTCAGAATTAATGTACCAGGACACCACACCTAGGTCTTAACAGCTTTATGTCTTTCATTGGAATATTCCACCAAAGCTCATTTTCCTGCATTCTAGCCCTCAGTTCTGAAAATAAATATTATACTTCACGGTTGAGTACACCAGTAAAACAATTTAAGGCAGTTAGAGTTCTTCGATTCATTTTCCTTATTATCTAGCACTGACTTTGCTGAGTATAGTAGATTGTAAGTGGGGAAAAAGTTCCACTGTGATTAAACCTTGTATTATTCAGTGTACTATGTAAGCGCCTCTAAAGATCAAGCAATCTGTGAGTCTGTAAAGGAGACATGTCTCTTCTGGATTATTCTGATCAAAGTTCACTCCTGTTCCAAGATGATTTCTTTGTTCTTTGCAATATGGAAACTGTGAAAATCGTCACCAGTGCCTTTGGAAAACAAGTGTTAGGGTGGTCTGTCAGTGGGTTAAAGACTAGGATTTTCAGTGATAGTGTGTAAATGTCTCTTTTCTGAGATGATTTTGAAAAGATACTATTTTAAATATCAAATGAACCAATACATTCACATTCATGTTAGGAATGGAATAAAATGAACGGTTTGCACTTTGCCGGCTTGGTTTCCTTTATTGCAGTGTCTCTAAGAGGCCTTTCCCTCATTCTGGAAAATTTATTAATAGCTATTTGAACATAGCACTTTTTCTTTCCTTATACTGATAACTATAAACACAGCTAGTAGGTTATTTTATTTTATTTTATTTCACTTTTTTTTTTTTTTGAGACAGAGCCTCAAGCTGTCCCCCTGGGTAGAGTGCTGTGGCATTACAGCTCACAACAACCTCCAACTCCTGGGCTCAAGCAAGTCTCCTGCCTCAGCCTCCCAAGTAGCTGGGACCGCAGGCGCCCGCCACAACACCTGGCTATTTTTTGGTTGCAGCTGTCATTGTTGTTTGGCGGGCCCAGGCTGGATTCGAACCTGCCACCTTAGGTGTATGTGGCTGGCACCTTAGCCACTTGAGCCACAGGCGCCGAGCCTATTTCACTTATTTTTGAGACAGAGTCTTACTCTGTTGCCCTGGGTAGAGTGTTATAGTGTCATCCTAGCCCATAATAACCTCAAACTCTTGGGCTTGAGCAATCTTCTTGCTCCTGCCTCTTGAGTAGCTGAGACTAGAGACTCGCACCACACACCCAGCTAGTTTTTTTCTGTTTTTAGTGGAGAAAGGGTCCCTTGCTTGGGCTCATCTCCAATTCCTTAGCTCAAGAAATCCACTTGCCTTGGCCTACTAGAGTGCTAGGATTACAAGTGTGAGCCACTACGCCAGGCCTCCAGTAGATTTCAGAGAAAGGAACCTTGGAAGGATCAGACTGGCTCTTCAGAAGTCCAATTCCAAACACCCTATTCGTGAAATCCACACAGCAAAAAGAAAGGAAGCTCGCTGTTCTTACTTGGAACATGAAAATTATTGATGCAGTGGGAGCAGATACTCATCTAAGGCCTCCTGAGCTCTGGAACATGAATCTCCTTCATCTGAAGTCTCCCCAAAAGCAGGAAACCCCTCCTGATGGGTTAGATCAGTCTAAGGATTGAAAAATAGGAAAATCCACAGGTGGACAGGGTAAAACAGGACCATCACGTTGGAGGACAGTCCTGAAGTACAAAGTACTAGACATTCTTATCAGTTCCCTGTTGTCTAAGTGGTATGGCACATATATCCTCACTTTCTTTTCTTTTTCTTTCTTTCTTTTTTTTTTTTTGAGACAGAGTCTCAAGCTATTGCCCTGGGCAGAGTGCTGTGTTGTCATAGCTCACAGCAACTTCTAACTCTTAGGCTAAAACAATCCTCTTGCTTCAGTTTTTCTATTTTTAGTAGAGATGGGTCTCTCTTTTTTGATCAGGCTGGTCTCGAACCTGTGAACTCAAGCTATCCACCTGCCTCAGCCTTCCAGAGTGCTAGGATTACAGGTGTGAGCCACCACACCTGGCCTATCCTCACTTTCTATAGAGAAAACTAAGTTTCAGAGAAATAAAATTATTTTTCCTTTTAGAGACCTCCTCTCATGGTCACCCAGGCTGGATTAAAGTGGCACAATCATACCTCTGTAGCCTCAAATTCAAGGGCTTGAGCAATCCTGCTTCAGCTCCTTGGTAGCTAAGAATAGAGGTATGAGCCCCTGTGCCTGGCTAAGTTTTAAATTTTTTGTAAAGACCAGGTTCACTGCTGCCCATGCCCGTCTCAAATGCCATTCTCCCCCCCCAGCTTCCCAACCCCTGGGAATACAAGCAAAGCCAAAGCACTTGATCAACAAGTGAATTTGATTAGAATCAGTCCACCCCTTCCTGAGCAAGTCTTAGAAGCCCTGCCTCCCAAACCACAAAGTCTGCTTGGCCGTCAGTGCTGCCGTATTATCTTCTCACTGCTCTCCTCCTTGGGCCCTGTGAACACACATTTACAATCATTCTAGAGCCAGAGGAAATGACTTCAGCCTGGGCAAAAAGAAACACACAAAAAGGCAAAACATATGCAATATCTGTTAGGCCCCTCCTGGGTAGGGACCCTTCACTGCGAGTGGTAGAGCTCCCAGCCCAACAGGCTCAGCAGAAAAGGGACACTACTGACCCACAGCAGGGAAAGGCACAGGGGCAGAAAGCCTCAGGCGCAGCTTGAGCAGACTCAGGTAACGTTACCAAGGGCCAGGAAGCTCCAGGCGAGGGTCACGTCTGCCCACTCTGTCTGGTCCATTTAGGGAGCAAGCTGGTGGGAAGAGTTCCAACCTTCGTGTTTCCAGGGCCCGAGGCCGGTGAGACACAGCAAGTCCACTCTTGCAAACACTCCAACCGAAGTCCTGGATTGAGTCTCAGCTGTCAGCAGCCCATCCCTGAACCTCTCATGATGGTTAGAGGAGATGGATGGATTATGCTGACTGGTTCAAATACAAGTCACAGAGCTACATTCCTGGGGCTAAGCACACCCAAACCTTGTCTCATGTGGACTAGGGCAAGAGGATTAGGAATCTTCCAAATGAAAACAGCCTGGTACTGGGAAAATTTTTTAAAAATTGAGACGCAGTCTCACTTTGTCATCTTCAATAGAGTACATGGCATCACAGCTCACAGCAACCTGAATCTCTTGGGCTCAAACGATTCTCTTGCCTCAACCTCCTTTAGTAGCTGGAACTACAGGCACTTGCCACAACGCCCAGCTATTTTTAGAGGTAGAGTCTCACTCTTGCTCAGGCTGGTCTTGAACCCATGAGCTCAGGCAATCACCCTCCTCGGCCTCCCAGAGTGTTAGGATTACAGGTGTGAGCCACTGTGCCCGGCCCTGACTAATGTTGTCTAGAGGGAAAAAGCCCAGGGGGCCAGGACAATGTGATCTGACCCACCCAGGGGAAGGAGATTAGAAGCTGCTTCTTTGAGGACACGACATCTGAGGTCAATTTCAAAGGAAAAATAAGGAATCGTTCAACACAATAGCTTATGCCACAGCCAAGTGAAAAGAAGGAACAGTATGTTCAAGGATGTGAAAGAGAGGGGGCAAGGCCAGGCTCCGGAGCCTGGAGGGCAGATTCCGGGATGGCTACAATTTCACCAACTTCTTCCTAAACCTTGCCAAGACCCTGTGACAATGGGACCAACACTTACTGGAATGGTGAACAAAAAAAGACACATTCAAATGTCTTCTATTTATATTCTAACACTGGGAAGATTTTCCTTCCCAAGTGTTCTCGTATTTGGATGGTTTCTTCGGACACCCTACATATTTCACACTTGAACACAGGAGGAAAGCGAGGCAAACACTACCTGAGAGTTCCTGGTGTGCTCTTGGCCCTGACATACGCCCTTGTCTCTGGTGTCCCTCTGGAAAACAGAGAACTTAACTAACTGAAAGTTATGTTTATCTGTTCAAGCAGCAGAGAGCGTAATGGATCCAGCAAACCACTGTCAACAAACGCAACAAAGCAAACTGCTCAGTTTGCCTCACTTCTGTGTCAACACTTAACTAAAAGCTCAGGCTGCCTAAAAAATCTCAAGAATTCCATGATGATGAACTGTAGAATCAGTGTGTGCCAGAAGTTAGGGTGAAAGGTCACATTAACCAAAGCAGAGGAAATAACAGACCTGGGGGATGTGCAAGATATTTTGTTTCTGGGCGGCACCTGTGGCTCAGTGGGTAGGGCACCGGCCCTATATACCAAGGGTAGCGGATTCAAACCCAGCCCCAGCCAAATTGCAACAACAAAAAATAGCTGGCAGCTCAGTGCCTGTGGCTCAAGTGGCTAAGGCACCAGCCACAAACACATAAGGTGGCAGGTTCGAATCCAGCCTGGGCCCACCAAACAATAATGATGGCTGCAACCAAAAAATGGCCAGGCATTGTGGTGGGTGCTTGTGGTCCTTGGGAGGTGGAGGCAGGAAACTCGCTTGAGCCCAGGAGTTGGAGGTTGCTGTGAGCTGTGATGCCACAGCACTCCACCCAGGGGGACAGCTTGAGGCTCTGTCTCCAAAAAAAAAAATAGCCGGGCACTGTGGCAGGCGCCTGTGGTCCCGGCTGCACTAGAGGCTGAGCAAGAGAATCGCCTAAGCCCAAAAGTTGAAGTTTGCCGTGAGGTGTGGCCACAGCATTCTATCGAGGGTGACTGAGCGAGACACTGTCACAAAACAAAACAAAACAAAACACCCAATCCAATT